TCTCCCCACCCCTCTCCCTCTCCATCTCCCCGCCCCTCTCCCTCTCCATCTCCTCGCCTGTCTGCATCTGTCTGCTTGTCACCTGCTTCTTTACCTCCACCCCCTGAGCCATCTACTTCGTCTTCAAAGATTGACCAAAGAGCTGAAAAAAGGGCCGCAAAAAAGGCAGCAACCAAACGGGCAAGGGATGAGTTGATAATAGAAGGACGCTCTCGTAGCAAAACTAAGCCTTAATCCGCATTGGGTTTTAATTTTTTTTCTTTAAATAAACTCGTTTTTTTTTTTTTTTTTTTTTTTTTTCTTTTCTTTCTTTTTCTAAAAACTTTTTTTTTCAAAAATTATAGTAAGTACCTCAAAACATCACATCCTCATATAACTAACTGAAAAGCTATTAGATATATTGTTATATATCGTACTGGCTTTTATGGCTTAACTTACCACTGCATTCTTTCGCGTACATGGTTGCTGTCCACTCTAAATAGATGATTGTCACCTAAAGCGAGTAAGCCTTTTTTAAAATACTGAAAACCGTGTTTATATATTTTAACTCTATTTTATAGTTGTTTACAGCTCAGCAAAAGGTACTTCATGTGATTGTCAACTACAATGTGAGTATTAAAAAAATTGAAAGCCTTGCTTATATTTTCTAACTGTATCTTTCTTAGTTCAATCTAGCTTTATCAAAGGTAAGTCATATATCTAGCTTGTTATCACTTCTGCATCTGCACTGTGAAACTTTTTATCGGTCCAATTTTTTGAAAAAAATGAAAAAGTTAGACCGGCGGTAACGGTCCAAAAATCGGTCGCATTTTTGGACAGATTTTGTAAGAAATCGGTCGCATTTTTGGACCGATACTGATGATTACAAGCGATGGTTTTGGCAAATAATTCTATTGGATAATAATACAGTTTACGTATTCAGTTCACGAGTTGCTACCCTTGTAAACCCAAAAGTTTAGACATCATATATTGAATAAAAAAAAGACATTTTATTGAAAAAAAAAAGAAAAAGAAAAAAAGAGCCACAAATGTTTGAATAAATAAACGCAGAGATTGGTTTTACAGATGAAAGACGAAACTAATCCGCCCATACCAACTTATTGAGCTAGTAGTTACAACTGTTATAGACAAACGCGTCTGGGCGGTACTTACCTATAATAAGAACTAACGTTAATAACGAGTATAAAAAAGATAAAAAAACACATCATACCTTAATAAAGAAACAGGTCGTCCGGGTCTAAATTTACAAGCAGTAAACGTACAGTAAATCTATAGACATATATTGATATTAATAACAGGAATGAAGGTGACTATAGCGATAAATCTTACCTCGAAAAGAATGTAGTTCATCTACCATGAACGCAAACACAATATTTATTATTCATAAACTACATCAAACAGAGTTACATAACTGTAAAAGGTTAATTTTATGTTAAATTATGGTATCAATTATTATACATACTATTTCATGGTCATTTGTCAAAAAGAAAACAGAAAAAAGGAAAATAAGAAAGAAAAAAAAATATTAGATTTATAAATAATGATTTTTTAAACTCAATAGATATTACGTACAGGAACGGTACACACAAACATAGAGTACTCTTCCAGTGCGTTTGATAGATACTTTCAATGACCCTTTGACCACTCTTTTGTTTCCTATAACTTGTCTCTTTACAAGATGGAAAAAATGGGGAAACTAGAAAGAAAATTCTAAGACGGAGGGTGATTTCAATAAAAAGTGTTGCGGCTATTTATTGAGTGGCAAAAATTTGGACATAAAGCACATGGCTTTTAATACTATAAACATTTTATTTGTAATATATATGTGACAAAAAAATGTCAATACTTTGTCATAGAGACATTTAAGTAGTGAATATGTTTTGATAGTTATTCGTCCGTTAAAACCAGCGAAGAAGTGAAAAAAAAAAAAAAAAAAAAAAAAAAAAAGCGTAAGTCAATTGAAAGCACGATACAAAAAAAGCCTAATCGTGTAACACCAAACGCGTAAAGAACAAGATACACTTTTTGACCCCCTGTTGCGGTCACCGTATTAACTTAATAAATTTTCTTTTAATCATATAAGTTATATAGGTATCGTAATATATGTTTATTAAACTACAAAACTCGATTTTGCAGTGATTTTCATTTATATTTTAAAAATCGGTATCGGTGCAATCTTCAAAAAAGACCGCCGGTATCTGTAATTTCTAAAAATTGCACCGATACCGGCGGTATCGGTCCAAAATATGTTTAGACCGGTAAAAAGTTTCAGGGTGCTGGTAGTCTCCGTATGCAACCAGGACAACCAACACTATATTATGTATGGTATCTGTTTGTTGTTATCCTTACACTACACAGTATCCATTTAAACAGGCGTTTCGTAGTTTTTATACGTGTATAAACCATTCATAAATTATTTCGTTATAAAATAAAAACCAATATAAACATTATTTTTGCACCTCATATTCTATTATTTCCAATGTTATTTTTTGTAAAACCCATTTAATATTGCAAGAGTCAATAGCCCTAGTTTAGTATACATTTAAAGAATATCCTCCAATACCATCTCGTTAAATAATAAGGTTATGATGTTTTCATTCGTTAGAAACTGGAAGTAGCGGTCGGTTTTCATGCGTACATGAACCGCGACCGCTAGTTCAGGTACAAATTAATTACCGCGACCGCTAGTTCAGGTACAAATTAATTACCGCGACCGCTGGTCGAGGTACAAAATAATTACCGCGACCGCTGGTCTAATTTTTTCGCGGTCCAAATTATACTTCGACCGGAAAAACAATTTGCGGTGCATGTTAAATTCATTGAGGAGATAGCGTTTATCTATTTTTTGGAAAGCGGAGCCAAAAATGGTTCATTATAACATAGATGCACTGTACTCGTAACAGTACACAAGTATATGAATAATGGCCTTACACGTGTGTGTGTGTATCGGTTTTGTAACTTGCAATTTAATTATTTTTTAAAAAAAACGAGGCTTTTTCAAACCAAACCTCCGTTTCGGTAATAATTTGACCTTCGCTGCGCTGCGGTAAATTTTTGACCTGCACTATGGTTCGGTAAGCTGCGCTTTGAAAAAGCCTCGTGCTGCCGAAGACCTGTTTTTGAAATAACAAACTTGACATATATTAATTAACCATGAAGCCCATGCACCATTATAACTTAAGCTACGCTGCCTATTATTAGTTTGATACTGGAGTAAACTTTGATATTTCTCAATATATGTATAAATACCTGGGAAAAGACGATATCCCTAGACCAAGGCAGGAAAGTTGATCTGCGCAAAAAGTATTAATTGTTTATTTATCTGATTAACTTTCTATGCGCAGTGTTTTTGTTTCATAATGAAAGACATGATAATCCAAAAAATTAATTTCAAAGGCGACCCCTTCATCGACCTAAAACAATCAATTTTCCAGTTGTTCTCGAATAATGACATATTGTTTGTGAAAAAGTGTTCATATACTGTTTCTCTAAACTCGATAATATAATGCTTAATACTATTGGTTGTTATACTGGGCCGGAGGATAACCTCCACCCCGAAAACCCCATAGTAACAATTTTATTTGCAATGATTTTTTCCGTAAAAGTCACTTTTTATATTATGACTTTCTCCAAACAATCAGTTTTTATATATGATCTTTTTTTTTAGTCTAATGTTAAATATTATGGGTCGTGTTCTTGGGAGGAGTGGTTTTACCATCCTCTAATTTTGTATCTCGGCACAGAAATATTACGCCATAAAAAAATCATGCTTTAAAAACACAGCGCTTTAAAAAAAAAAGGAATATTGTTTTTCAGAAGGTAACAATTTAATGCTAAATAATATGGGCCGTATTCTTGGGGGGAGGGGTTCCCCCCCAAACCCCCCGCACCCCCTCAAAAAATTCGTAACTTTGTGACTGTTTTTTACAATTTCTAATTCCTATTATTTTTATATGTTAATATTCGATGATTGATGGCTGACACGTAGATGACAAGGTGCTGACAAAGAATTACCAAAATTAATGCATCTACGTGACACGATCATGACAATTTTATCCACCATGTTGCGTCTTTCCGCAACTTGTCGCGGAATTCCACTACCGAGTCTGCGGCTGTAATTGTTGTTGACATCTCATTATGGCCTTTCTATTTGGGATCTATGCATCCGAGTATTATCTGGATAAATCTACCCACAACCGTCATCAGCCCATCGGTGATTAATGTCTGAAATAAAGTATATATAAAGACCCCTTTTATTTGTTTAATAAAGCCTTAGTTAATTTTTGCAGTTTGATAATTTCACTTTGTTAAATTTTACATTTTTTCTTAATTCGCTATTATCACTCTCGAATTTCTCACTCTATTACATTCTTTAAGAGAGAGTTCTTCCTAAACTAATATAGCCCGATTTTTTTCTCTTTACACAAACTTTTTTACAGATGACAAAATAAAATTTGCCATTTACAATGGGGAGACCCAAAGATGTCCGGAAGGTGTTTTAAAGTGCAACAATTCATAAACATTCATCGGATTTATCCCGGTTAAACATCTTTCAGCGATAAATTAGATTTCTCTGTCAAAAAATTTGAGAATCACCAGTGTAAAAATCCGACTTTTTAGTTCTGAAAATGTCCGTTTTAACATAAATTGTTCATTATAAAATAGATACACTGTAATTGATTTAAAAACTTCAAAGTTTATTTTATTCACACCCATAGTAAATAAAATTGAAAGACTTATTATATACTTGCTAAATTCCTTAAACACATAGATCATGCAATCCGACATTGGAGTATGTTCGCCCTTTTTCCTGTACTGTATTTCATAAACAACGAATAAAAGATGAAAATAATCAAGGATTTTGAAAGAAAATCTGAAGGTGTTATTTCTCTCACGAAGTTTGCGATTAGTTTAGGGGAATATGTATCTTTATTCTGCTATTATCAGGAAATGACTAACATGACAATCACAATAGGTGTCTTTGGACGAAACATGAACTATTTGTCAGCTCCAAGTAAAGAGCATGACAAAGTATTGACGGAGACCTACTTCGAAACCGAAATAAAGTTGATAAACGCCTACGTTATCGGTTTTGAAAGGTAAGGGTCAGAGCTAATACATTCACATACCCCTTTTTTGTACCAGAAACTGGATTCCAACTGTATGTTAAATGTCTACTCCCAACACTTTTGCCATGAATTCCCAAAAGCCAACTCATTTTACAGATACATTCTATTCTGAGGCTTACGAATAACCCTTTTCCCCATGTACGTGTCTTAGTTTTCATGATGATTTACACGCTCATGTTTTCTCTGTAGAGTTTTTTATGACAGAAGAGCATCGTAACTGGAACCCAAATGCTTATCTCATGCAGCTTGTACAGAAGAATCCTACAATTACCGCTCGGAACGGAAATAAAGCTCCCGCAGAAGATATCGAAATAACGCAATCTTATGTTATTCTCGGTACAATTGCAGATACGATGCTGCGTCAAATGGAAGGTGCTTTGAATGTAAGGATAGGCGCAAAGAAAAATCGTTGAGAAAAGCTAATAAAAAAATTTGTTTAGTCTGTAAAAGGAGAAGCAGCTATTAATAGCTTCTGGAGAAACTCTGCTACTATTGCTTCAACCTCTATTAACTACGAAAAATTGAAGGTATGTTACATTATTCTATTAGTTCACTATTACAAAAACATTAACCTAAAATGCCTGTATTGTACCAATTACGACGACAGATGGCCGAAGAAACTGTCGATGAAGGTCTAAGTGGAAGTAGGAAGAAGCCACGAGTACGGGGTACGCAATTGTTTGAGACCAATAGAGTAGAAAGGCAAGAAGATGAAGGTGAAGCTCAGGACATTCCCAACAATAGTAGCGAAGAAGATGACGAAAATGATGTTGGTGATATTTGGAAATCATGGAAATTTTTATTAAAAAGTATAAGAGAATCCACTGTTTTACCAGGATTAAGGTAACATAATAACTTTTCATTATTTAATAATATTAATACTTAAAATCCGGTTTCTTTTTTAGTCCTGAATTACACAATGTAATTTGGTGTGCTAAAGAAGATCTTCGTAGATCAGTGCTGCCTGTAGAGCGTTTCCAAGAACTGAACAATCAAGTTCCAAATATCAAAATGCAACAAGTTGATCGTATTTTTAGAAATTGTTATTGGAGGCTTACGGTACAGTAAGCCAAAAAAAAATATTTAAATGAGGAGAACAACACAACTTATATTCAAAATGATAACAAGGGTAATCAAAAAGAACGGCTTAATAAAGTTGAGATGTTTCGAAATTGCCGTAGTACAGTTTATTTGATTGTCAAGCGCGATTTAATGACATGCATCTTACAAATATTGTAAGTTGTATCACAATTTAAGTTTTCATTATATCCAAAAAACAATTACCATTTTTGTAAATGTACCCTTTTTGATTGTTCGTCAGAAACCATATTTTCTTCCGAAAGTAACTTTCGATATTATGTTTTTAATCTTCTATTCCAAGCATGTAACAAATATTTCAAGGATCTTGGTATTTGATGTAACCTTCAATGCAAGTGAAGTAGAACGGAAAGCCATGACAGTTCAACTACAACACCAAGGCATTACGGATAAAAGTCTAAGATACAATGCAAATGGAACAATTTTATTGAATAGCATTTAAACCGAAGTATTGTTATCTGAAGGATCTTCATCATTTGATGAAAACAACAAAGGAAGAACTAGCTCTGACCACTACAAAGCGATGTTTGGTTCATTAATAATGCTTCGTACTATCGCCAGAAAATATATTTACACTCGCTTTCATAGTTTTAAGAACTTGAAAGTTCATTTTATTCACATACATAGTAAATGAAATTCAAAGACTTATTACATACTTGCTAAATTCCTTAAACACATAGATAATGCAATCCGACATTGGAGTATGTTCGCCCCTTCTCCTGTATTGTAATTCACGAACAACGAACAGAAGATGGATAAAATCAAGGATTTTGAAAGAAAATCAGATGGTGTTATTCCTCTCAGGAAGTTTACGATTAGTTAAGGGGTATATGTATCTTTATTATTTTATTATGAGGAAATGACTAACATAATAATCACAATAGGTGTCTTTGGACGACACATGAACTATTTGTCAGTTCGAAGTAAAGAGCATGACAAAGTATAGACGGAGACCTACTTCGGAACCGAAATAAAGTTGATAAACGCCTATGTCATCGGTTTTGAAAGGTAAGGTTCGGAGCTAATACATTCACATACCCTTTTTTTTGTACCAGAAACTGGATTCCAACTGTATGTTAAATGTCTACTCCCAACACTCTTGCCAAGAATACTCAAAAGCCAAATCATTTTACAGATACGTTACATTATGAGGCTTACGAATAACTCTTTTTCCCTGGTACGTGTGTTGGTTATTTTGATGATTTACACGCTTATTTTTTCTCTGTAGAGTTTTTTATGGCAGAAGAGCCTCAGAACTTGAACCCAAATGCTTATCTCATGCAGCTTGTACAGAAGAATCCTACAATTACCGCTCGGGACGGAAATAAAACTCTCGCAGAAGATATCAAAATAACGCAAGCTTATGTTATTCTCGGTACAATTGCAGATACAATGCTGCGTCAAATGGAGGGTGCTTTGAAAGTAAGAATAGGCACAAAGAAAATCCTAGAGAAAAGCTAATAAAAATATTTGTTTAGTCTGTAAAAAGAAAGGCAGCTATTGATAACTATTGGAAGAACTCTGCTACAATTGCTTCAACCTCTATTAACTATGAAAAACCGAAGGTATGTTACGTTATTCTATTAGTTTGCAATTAAAAAAAGGAATTAACCTAAAATGCCTGTATTGTACCAATTACGACGACAGATGGCCGAAGAAATTGTCGATGAAGGTGTAAGTCGAAGTAGGAAGAGGCAACGAGTACGGGTACGCAATTGTTCGAGAGCAATAGAGTAGAAAACCAAGAAGATGAAGGTGTAGCTCAGGACAATCCCAACAATAGTGGCGAAAAAGATGACGAAAATGGTGTTGGTGATATTTGGGAATCCTGGAAAATATTATTAAAAAGTATAAGACAATCCACTGTTTCACCAGTCTTAAGATAACATAATAACTTTTCATTATTTAATAACATTGATACTTAAAATCTGGTTTAATTTTTGTCCTGAATTACACAATGTAATTTGGTATGCTAAAATAGATCTTCAGAGACCAGTGCTGCCTGTGGAGCTTTTCCAAGAGCTAAACAAGCAAGTTCCAAATATCAAAACGCAACCAGTTGATCGTATTTTTAAACAAGTGTTATGGGAGGCATACGATACAGTAAGATAAAAAAAAAGGTTTAAATGTGGAGAACGACACAGCCTATATTGAAAATGATTACTGGTTAACCATAACAAATGGGTTGCTAAAGCTGAGTGTGGTATTTGAAAAAATATTATAATAGAAAAGTAATGATATAATAGTATATTTTTATTAGAGGTAAAAATAGACTAAAAAGAACTCTGCTGTTATGAAATAATTGATCCTTTTTATAATTCACAACTCTCCTGAGGTTTAATGATGAGTCAACCTTTCTGGTTTTGGAATAGATCCATACTTTGTTTCCCGCCTAGGGTTAAATGAATACTACTCGTTAGAATTGTTTCCAGTTAACGTTGTCCCATATCAGTGGATCGGGAGCATGAGTATTCTAATAAATCTTTAGTATTACGAGACACTTAGATATCAGATCATGCAACTGTTACTGTAAAAGATGCATACTTGTTTGTCAAGTGTAATTGGCAATAGAACATAACAGTTGATCATTTATTCATTATCTTTGTAATGAATAAATTACGATCCCAAATATAAAATGTCTTATCGATATTTGTATATTTGGTTGTAGAAGCTAGGTATCCATTAATTCATACACTATTTCTTTATACTCTTTATCAGCAGTATAATTATATCAATATATAAGTAAATGAACCATTTATATTAATAGCTGTTCTATTCTCTCTCTGGGTAGCTAATCCATTGAGAGAACTATCAATATTAAGTTTCTCTTTCTTATAATTCTTGATTGATCTAAGAAGTTTCTCTTCTCGATCGGTGATATCGTAACTCAGTCGTATAGCATTTTGTATCCAACTGTCATTCGTATATCGTATTTAGGCCTACCATGCAATCTTTGAGATAGAAGTATGTACTCGAAGTAGGAGAAGTTGTATAGCAGTATACAAGCGTATGCTGATATGCAACATCAAAGGTTGGTTTAATTTTATGGTTTATTTATTTAAACGATTTGCTTAATTATTCTTAAGTGAATCGTACCCAAATACGACAGGTATGCAACATCAAAGTTTGTTTTATTCTTATAGTTTATTTATTTAAACTATTTGTTTAATTCTTCTTACGTGAATCATACCCAAATAGGACATTAACATACGACTCCACAATTGGTCTTAACGGGTTGTATGCATATATTTCTACCTGTGAATTTTGTGGCAGTAAAGCCATGTTTGTAGGATGTGTGGTGATGACCATTTTGAAATTTTTTGCGGTCTGAATTACGTCTTCGAAAATAAGATCCTCTATAATTTTGGGGTAGACGCCTTGTTCTAGTAGATCTTGCGTCTATTCAGTCTTTCTTTGCTTGACTTTCAGTATTACATTCATTGCTCGTCTAAGATGTTGACCAAATATCGTGCTGATGTTATTGATATACGACTGTTTTACGTTTCTCTTTCCATCAGAGATAACTGCTGTTGATACTTTAGTCTGAAAGTTTGATAGTTTCTGAAATTCAAATAGCTTGGTAAATAGCGGCTAGTATAATTGCGATACTTTATAACTTATTCTGCACGAGTATTTCCCCTTGTCTATTCTACTAAAAAAAGCCATACTTCAGTAAAACATATTTTATGGATACGTTCTTTAAGGCCACATGGAGGATCTGCTTGGAATTTATTGAGGAATATATACTTCGAAAAACAATATGCATACTTTGGCGTAGTGTAAAAACTCCAACAAAACCGTGTTGTTTTGTCAAAGATGACTGCTTCCAACCGATGCCAGTAATTGACAATTTCATTGCGATTATCCGTTCTTTTGTCGGGAGAGATGCCTCATCCATGTTACAGTATATAATGGCAGTATAAGAAATATGTTTCTAAAAAAATAAATAAAGATTACATTACAATTAAGAAAGAATTAAAACCTGAAAGAGAAAAAAGTTTTGTTAAAAGGAGAAGATCTTCTATATGTATCTCTCTCTTGTTTATTTTTTTGAAAATCCAATATTTTCCCTTTGTTATATGGTACTTTTTGTCCGGGCTAGAGTGTACATAAAACGTGAGGATAGAATACCAGTAGTGTGTTCACTTAAACTAGTATTGTAATTGAAGAGAACATGTGTTCGTTGGTGGTAACAGATACACTGTGTTTTACTCAAATACAATATAAACTAGATAGAAAAATAAAACTAAAAAAATAAGCCTTTTACACCCCAATTTTGAAGAATGACAACTGAAAAAGAGTGTTTAATACTTTAGTTTGTTAAGTCAAAACGCAATTTGAGTCCAGATACAACATCAAAAATTTATATAATGACTGTATGGATTATTAAGATGTTTAATTTTTGTTTATTTCGTCAATTATTATCCTACTAAATTTTCTTCCATTCTTGATGGACTTTTTTTTGTGAACTTGAACAAATTTCCTCCGCGCTTTGCGCAAATATTTTAAAAAATTAGTATTTATATATATATATTTATATTATAAGTAGACTTCGAATGCTTCATTTCATTTTTGTTTTGCCTACCGTCGAGGGGGACGGTGCGTCTGGTGAAAAAAAAAAGACACATGACCACGATTGCAATTCCGAAACAACAATTGAAAACAAATTCAAAATTTGGTCGATGGAAGCTATGTAGCACGTTAGATTCTTACGAATTGTCGAACTGTAAATTCAAACCTTTGTTTTGTCATCTGTATAACATTTGGTATGTAAATAATAACATCGAGATCTATTTTTATTTCAAGAATATTCAAATAAAGAAGATAATAGATCCGGATATTCAATACAGGATTATTTCATCCAGGAAATAGATTGTTCTTTTTTTTAAAAAAAAATCGGAGGCATAATTATTTCATTATAAAATAGATACCCCAAAAATTGTATGGTCGTCTTTTAATTGTCTACCGGCGGGTTGACCGGTCGTCTTTTAATTTTTGACCGGCGGAATGACCGGTCATCTCTTAAATTTCGGCCGTCGGGTTGAACGGTCGACGTATAAACGCTAAAAGTCGGCCGGAGTGGTTTTTATCTCTAAATGAACTCGACGTTTATGCTATTTTTTATTGCAGCATAATATATTGTTGTAACAGTTGTTCTAATTTACCACAACAGCTATCAGAGAAAGATTGCGAATCAATGAGTCCCAAGTGTTGTGCCAGGGCCGTATAGAATTCAGACACAATTAAAGTAGAGTTACAGAGAGTCCACAAGAACTATTCTAACAGAATGGTAGTGATCTCGCGTAATCCAGGTTTTAAATATTTTAAAAAAATGTTTGCATATCACAGTAAAAATTTATTTCAAGAGGCATAATTCAGTAGTTTTGTCTTTTGATCTCTGGATCAAATTAATTAACAGAAAGGATAAATGATCCGACTGAGAAATTCGAGAGATAAAGCAACGAATTAAGAATAAAAATAAAGAAATTTGACGAAGTAAAATTATCAAACTGCAAAAATAAGCTCAAGTCTTTATTATACAATAAATTGGGTTCTTTATATACATATTCAGGGCTGGCTAAATATCAATCATTCAAGTGAAACCTGTCAAATATACAATAGGCGTATTGTCAATTAAAGATCGAGCATCTCATGGTACCTTCGAGAATCTTGTTATTGACGAGCGATCATATCATTGGATTGTATTATCTGGAATAAATGTATGACTATTGTTTTCTATATGTTGATGAGTAATCAATGCGTAGTAAATAGAGTGTAATAGCATGTATTTGATTTAAAGAGTAATGCAATAATGATTTATAGAAAGGTTATCAAATAAGAAAGAAAGAATTGATGATAGAGTTATATCTGTATATAAGCTCGATCACAACACCAGCCATTCCTACCTCTTCATGGACACGTTCTACGCGGTCACCGCGGTTCAAATTCGCCGTAAATGATAGTTCTGGAATGCCATTTTGGAACATCAATCGTCTGGCGGCAAGCCCTCCTTGAACCAATCTTCGCGTAAACTCGTTATACATCACGCGCATCATCATACAAAAAATATTTTTTAACACGCGAGTATTGCTAGTGTTATCGTTCAGAACAAAATATATGTTTATCAACGAAGTCGTGTATTGCCCAATGTTTCTGGATCGCATCATATCAATGAACTGATCGCCAGGCCCATTTCCACGAATCATGTTGCTGATGATGTTGGAGCGTTCAGTCAACCTCGTCAAATATCGCTCCGTGTCATGTCGGATTAGTCGGCGCGTCATAACCTCCTCAACACGTTGATTACGTCGAGTTCCTTGATGTTCCTCCACAGGTTCCTACACAAACGGGGCAAGACAGGCTCACCTCCTTCGTCTCGACACAACAAGGGAACAATGTCAATAGCACGATTGGCCAAATTCAAATGCCCATGAACCATATGTCCAAAGAAAGTTAGATTGTTCTCAGACACAAAGCGAACTCCACCTTCCTCCAGCAAGTCAAATAAGTCTTGAGCAATGTCATTAACCTCGTTTTGCAAGTATTCTAAAAATTGTCTTCGAATAGTAGGGACCATTTAGTGTATTAATAAGATAATAGTTGGGAAAAAAATAATAAACCATTTCGTAAAAGAAAAATCTTATTTTATATCTTTTTGTAATCATTTATCTAATAATAGCAGCCAAACATGTATCATGTCTTTTTTTCTCACGTCGAATGAAATCCAGTTTATCTTCTTTCATTTTTTCATGATATATCATTTCATCGCATGACCACATCACCCCCTTTAACAAGACTTTATCTTGACTACATTCCATCCCGTCATCACTCGTTTATCTTGTTTTCTTATCAAACTGACATCATCTTAAATTTGTCTTATTTTTAGTCTTTTATCATTCAAACAGGTTCTTTTCCAATTTATCATCATTCCCTTTACAACTCTACCCCTTTTATCAACATAACATGACATCAATTAAATAAAACATGTCTCAAAAATATAATTTACTTGGTGTATTAAAATGATAGACTACCACTGAACCACACTTATCAAGTATGGCCCTTCCTTGGAATCTTACATTTGCTCTTATTCGTAACACTCCATGTACCTCTGCTTCGTTTTCTGTCCTCTTCTTCCGTACTCTTTTTTTTTCTCTTTTCTCTACCATCGGACTTGAGACGAAATCGTCATGTTTTCAGTCAATTTACATCTCAAATTCCAGGATTTTTATTTTCCTTTCCATGTGGTGTGAGAAATTCGAGAGTGATAATAGCGAATTAAGAAAAAATGTAAAATTTAACAAAGTGAAATTATCAAACTGCAAAAATAAACTAAAGCTTTATTAAACAAATAAAAGGGGGTCTTTATATACACATTATTTCAGACATTGATCACAGATGGGCTGATGACGGTTGTGGGTAGATTTATCCAGATAATACTCGGATGTAATGATCCCATATAGAAAGACCATAATGAGATGTCAATAACAATAACAATAACATTCATTCTTAAACTGTGTATGTCTTGTAGCACAACATTCAGGGGAAAATGTTGTTCTTATTAAAGATAGCTGTGGCACCTGAACGTGGCTGATGTAACCTTCATATGTTTTCATATTCATGTTATTATTTAAATGTATGCCTTATACTTGTATGAAGGATGATATGAGATCAAGCCTGTACATAAAGTAAATGATCAGTATTTGATATAAAGTACCAATAACAATTATATTTAGGATTATCAAATGGAAGATTTAAGAAGTGTAGATAGAGTCATATATTAAGTATATAGCCTCGATCACGACACACACCGGGTACAATGAGTATATCTGTATGCTCCAATTTGGAAGATATCAACAATGCATGTCAAATTATCTTGGAAGACGTAGAACAAAACATGTATGTGAACATTGGATTTGACTGTGAGTGGATAGCCAGAAATAATAGCTCTTTTTATTCCGGATTAAGAAGAACTCCATCATCTCTGAATGAAGTATCTCTTATTCAAATTTGTTACAAAGACAAAATATATTTGCTTCGTACATTTGAGTATACGGCGGAGGACTATCCTGAAAAGTTGAAACACCTTTTGGAGTGCGAAAATGTCAAGAAAATCGGTAAAAATGTAACTGGTGATTTTACTCGCTTACAAAAAGGGTATCAAATAAACCCCAAAGCTTTGATTGAGTTGGGTTCAGTCTGTAAACATAAAGGTGTCATAGAAAAAAAATCCTTCTCTTTGGCAAAAATATGTGCTGTTGTTCTGAAAGCATCATTACCAAAACCCAATAACATCAGCACAGCGGCGCACCAAATGGTAAAATGTTGCTAAAACACACCAAAAACACACCATCATTGATTGCTTAAATGGCCGATTTAAGCAATCAATGATGGTGCATTTTGTGTAAATTCACAATGAATGATTGTTAAAACTCACATTGAATGGTTGTGCGTTTTCTCATCCAATGGTGGTTTTTTACCGTTATACGCTGTTTCTTTATGAATGTATATGGACCTTTTAGCAATCGTACATTGCATTATTATTCGCACAGATGCATCCCTTTTACAAATACACACTTGATATTCAACACTAGTTTATTAATTGTTCACATGGATATGGTGCTTACATAGGAAATATGGTTTAAAAAGACGTTTAAATTTTGTTTAAAAATGATTTATTTTGAGATTTTAAACTGGAAGCAATTTTAAGTATACTATACGTCATCTCTAAAAGCTATAGGGAATTATTCGCGTGTAGATATTTACAGTACTCACATACTAATAACCTGGTAAGGAAGCAACAGAATCGCCTGACAGACTTACATGTATACAGGTAAAGAGCCATATAGTTCTTAGAAGTAACCTAGAATAAACAGCCTATGATAAAATACGGCCTAAAATAAAAAAAAGAGACTAAAACAAAAAAAAAATAGCCTAAAATAAAAAAACCGCCTAAAAACAATTAGCCTTATATTTTTTTAAAATACCTAGTTATTGACAGTAAAGTGCTCAGCATCTATACAACATACAAATCAGAAAGACGTATTAAACGTCATAGGCAACCACAATTACCCTAGATACATCATGTTTTAAACATTTCTTGGTGAATATACCTAACAATTCTTAATAAGATAAGATGGGTACACTCACTAGCATTGTAAATTTATTCAAGTTTACCACCTATAACTTATGTTCTTGTAGTGTATTACATGAATTGAAATCTAAGAATTATTTTATCGAAAGTGAAAAAAAGTGAAAGTGAAAGAAAGAGAGGAACAGAGACAGAAAAAAAAACGGGTTTATGAATCTCATTATCACATTATTTTAAAGAGCGAATTATTCTTCTCGTCTTCTTTATTGCAAGGCCCGCAACAGCCACAGGGCGATCTACTCCTATATTTGTAGCGGCACTAAACATTTCTTAGCAGTTTTGGGGGGTATGAAGCAGAAGTTTCACAGTTATAATGTTGCAACTTTGACTTAAAGCTCTGTAGGTGAAAAATACAGAAAGTAAGCCCTGATAACAGTAAGCGACATTCTTTAAGCTGTTGGTCTTGTCCAGTACTCAAATTCACTGAATATCTTTAAGGTTGTTTGGCCTCCAGCTTTCTCTCTTCGTGAACTGTAGTCGGTTGCTACCTTTACGTTTTTTTTTTTTTTTTTTTCTGAAGAGGGGGTAATAAACGATGACTTGTAAATATTCTTGTATCCAAATTGAGGAAAAAAAAGGATTTAATATTTTTTTTTTTTTGATTGTGTGTTTTTACAGTCAATTGAGTAATTTTACATTTGTATGTGTAAAATATCAGCTGAGTGTGTATTTTCACAAAACCGTGCGCGGCTGTTATTATAAAATGGATGTTCCGTAGAGTTTAAAAAAGACGTGGGTTGATTGAGTTTAAAGTGAGCACCAAATCAATTAATAGGTTTTGATTAGACCTTTGTTATCGTATTGTTATTAAGGGAAAGAGAAAGGAACAATCAAGAGTTCGTAAAAGAATCAATGATTATATTATATGAGTTATTAAGTTAACGAGAAGCTTTTATCAAGACTGATTTAAGTATGTAATGGTACTTCAAAAGAGAGTTGTTTTACTATACAGGGTCTTAATTACGTTATGATGGTTCCGATTAAGGATGTTTCTTAACGAATTTTAATAAAAGTAAATGATTTTGTTTGACGGAGTAAAGTGTGTACTGTTTCTGATTATAGAAAATAATAGAAGGTGTTCACACAAGGTCAGAAATATATAGAATGGTTCCAGATAAGGATGTTTTCTTATATATTTATACAAAAGAGAAGGTAGAAATAGAAGAGTTTTTATTGAGACTGTTTAAAGTACGTATGTTACTATTCAAAAGAAAGTTATTTACTGTACAGGATCTCGAGATTTACTGAATGGTTCTTATAAATTAAGATGTTTTCAAGTAAGTCTTTATAAAAAAAGAAGAAAAGAAAAAAGAAAGAATAAAAATAAAGAAAGAAAGAAAAAGAAAAGGAAGTAAGAGCAAATATGGCTCGGTAATAGTAAGTTTTGTGAGAGTAAAATATGTCTGAAGTTTATTAAAAAAAATGGAAGGGGATATTTATAATTGTTTTTACGAATGGTGTAACCATCGTACTTTGAAAGCTCTTAATTAATGTCTATGTTTGGTTAAAATGTTTTCTTACACTGTGCACTGTCGCAAAAACATGGTATGTATAGAGAATTTTATCAGCGCTTCAGAGATGCTTTGTTTGTGTACGATCCAGTTGACAAAAAGAATGTCGAAGATTATTTGAAGACTATCAACACAGACTTTAATAATTACATGGGAAGTCACTCAGATTTTATTCTTAGACGGGTCAAAAGAAAAATACCACCTCCAAACCAATTGCTACCCGCTTGTGGCAAAAGCGGTATTCACTAGTTAATTTAAATGAAGTCTTATAAAGTCGATGAGACACAAATAAAGGATCTTTATTAATTTGATAAAAAGCGAAGAAGGATCTTAATTGACCGGGATAGCTTCTTTGTAATTATTGCGGATTCTTAATATAGTGACTGTACGATCTCGAGATGGACGTCATCAGTACAATTATGATTGTACTGAGATTTAATCTCATATGAATATCTGTTTAAGAGAGAAGATTATACATATCAAGTGTTTATATCTTCTCAAATACGACACCGCTGTTAAACTTTTATTTGATCACTATGGGTCTTTACCATGCGCTAAAACAGGATCTCTGCTCTTTGACCAAGAAAGCAAAAGGATTGCTAAAAACATCCTTAAATCAATTGAGTTAGGTCATGTTTCTGACATAGAAAATGGGCCACCATTATATAGAGAGTTAGGAAAAGACAAGAATGGCCTTATAACATATGGTTGTTCTAGAGGTACTAGTTCGGTTGAAGGATACCACCAAGCTATTATAAGAAAATTTTCTTCAATTAACGCTGGTCCTCGTCTTACGGATTCAGTTTTAGCTGATTATAGGTTATACCATAATATTGAGGTACTTTAGTTTGTTCTTAACAAAAATTTATCTTCGATATTAACATAGTATAACTCATAGGTTGGTGCTAGAAATAGGGAAGGCATAGCACATAAAAGTCATTTCAGTCCTTGGGTTACTCAATTCATAAACATGATAAGTGAGAAATTCGAGAGATAAAGCAACGAATTAAGAATAAAATAAAGAAATTTGACGAAGTAAAATTATCAAACTGCAAAAATAAACTAAATTCTTTATTATACAATAAATTGGGTTCTTTATATACATATTCAGGGCTGGCTGAATATCAATCATTAAAGTGAAACCTGTCAAATATACAATAGGCGTGTAATATCCGATGTCTAAGAGACAATAATTTCAATCAAATATAAGATCATCCTTTATTAAATGCTTAATTTGCTCTTGTATATATATTATATGTTCATGTTTGTTAAGTCGGTGATTCGTATTTGTTGTATCGGTGATTCTTATATGTTCCGTATTTACATTAGAGTAGTTGTTATTATGGTGAGATAGTCTTGTGATACAACATCATCCCCCTTCTAGTTCGGAATCGTTTAAGAATTAAGCGGTGACTTGAGTGATTGATTGACATGATAATATATAAAGAGTATGCAGAGTTTGATAACTCTGGATTGATTGGATATAACTTGAAAAAAATAAAAAAAAATAAAAATAAAAGAAAAAATGTTTGGCAAAAAAAATGTTGTGTGGCGAATCCTTCCCTAATTAAGTCGATAAAAACTCTTACTACAACCGTAAGAGAAAAGATACATAATTAATAGATATCAAATCTTGGATTTCTTTGAGCTCTTTGTATTGGCATCATTAGTGGATTTTCTTTTAATCGCACTCTTTTGGGGAAGTTTTTGTTTCTTTTCTGCTTCTTTTTGAATTTTCTTTAAATTAGCATGATTGACTTTTCTTCTCTTCCAATAAGTTTTTATAGCTTCAGTAGAGTCAAAATTTTCAGATGATATCCATAGATCATGGTCAGAGTCATAGCCTTTCCATCTAACTAGATATTCGTAATTGCTAGCATTATCACCTCTGTGATTTAAAATACTTTGTATTTCATAGTGCTTTTCTTGGTCTGAATTTATTTCGCTCGATATCTTCTTTATGTGAGATGTAGGTACGTTCCTTGGATAAAGTTCACCTGTGGTGTCTTTTAATACATATAATCCAGGTTTTACTATGTTAGCTATAGTGTATGGTCCTTCGTAGTACGGTTCTGTTTTCGAACTCTTGTTTACGTTTTTAATCATTACTTTAGTTCCTAAGGTATATGGTTCATAATTAATTT